GCCGCCATTACAAATCTTACTCCTGATATAAAGCCAATTGCCGTCCGATCCAGACGTTATAGTTCAGAAGACGAAAGTTTCATCAAATCTGAAATAAATAAACTTCTTGAAGACGGGATTATAGAGCCTAGCGTTTCGCCTTGGTGAGCACAAGTTTTGATTGCAGGTGGAGGTGCCCACAGAAAGAGAATGGTAATAGATTATTCCAGGACCATTAATAAGTATACAGAGTTAGATGCATTTCCTTTACCAAATTTAGAAACCATCGTATCAAAAGTAGCCAAGTTCAACCATTTCAGTCAAATTGACTTAAAATCTGCGTATCACCAAGTGCCTATTCTACAGAAAGAAAGAATTTATACGGCCTTTGAAGCAAATGGCAAACTCTATCAATTCACTCGTATTCCCTTTGGAGTCACCAATGGCGTTGCTGCCTTTCAGCGTGTCTTAAATTACATTATAGAAACAGAAGTTTTAAAGGGCACGTATGCTTATCTTGATGACGTCACCATTTGTGGCATAGACAAAACCGATCATGACGCCAATCTCGCAAAATTCATGGAAGCGGTGGCCAAATATGCTCTCACACTAAATAAAGAAAAGTGTATTTTTGACACAAATACCATTAATCTCCTTGGGTATACAATTCAGGATAATATCATTAAACCCGATAAGAACCGTCTGAAGCCTCTGCTAGACTTACCGACTCCAGAAGATTCTTCCTCACTTAAAAGAGCACTCGGCCTCTTTGCTCATTACTCTAAATGGATACAAAATTTCTCAGAAAAGGTAAAACCATTATATCTATTGACAATTTTCCATTATCTAAAGAAAAAATATCAATGTTTTAATGATTTAAAAGCAACTATTGCCAAAGCTTCCTTAGCTGCTATTGACGAATCTGCTATGTTCACTGTCGAAACGGATGCTTCCGAAAATTCACTTGCCGCAATACTAACCCAGAACGGCCAACCTGTGGCTTTCTTTTCTCGATCGCTTAACGATTCTGAAAGAAGACAGTCTTCTATAGAGAAGGAAGCGGCAGCCATCGTTGAATCGCTCCGGAAATGGCGTCATTATCTCATTGGAAGAAATTTTCTACTTATTACTGATCAACAATCAGTCGCATTTATGTTCAATCAAAGACATAAAAGCAAGATCAAGAATGAAAAAATTGAACGATGGCGTCTCGAATTATCTTGTTTCAAATACGATATTATATACAGACCAGGTAAAGATAATAAAGCTGCTGACGCTTTGACACGGGTCTGTGCACACATGAACTTGAATAACTTGAAATCTATTCATGAAAATCTTTGTCACCCAGGAGTAGTCCGTATGTACCACTGGGTAAAGTCAAAGAATTTGCCGTATTCAATAAATGAGGTCCGACAAATGACCGCCGATTGTCGAGTCTGTGCTGAAGTCAAACCTAGATTTTCACGACTGGATGGACAATTGATTAAAGCGACGGCTCCATTCGAACGCCTTAATATGGATTTTAAAGGACCGCTGCCATCTAAGTCGCAAAACAAGTATATTTTGACAATTATTGACGAATACAGCCGTTTCCCTTTCGCATTCGCTTGTAAAGATACAAGTTCCGAAACTGTTATTAAATGTCTGAACGAAATTATTTATACTTTTGGTACCCCAATGTATGTACATTCAGACAGGGGAAGCTCTTTTATGTCGCAAGAATTTATTCAATATCTTACATCTCTTGGAATAGCTTCTAGTAAGACTACTCCATATAATCCCCAAGGAAATGGACAAGTTGAACGCTTAAACGGGACTTTGTGGAGAGCTATTCAACTTAGTCTTAGATCACAACGCTTGGATACGTCTGATTGGGAAAAAGTCTTACCTATCGCCCTACACTCTATTCGTTCTCTCCTATGTACCGCTATCAATACCACACCTCATGAAAGGATGTTTTGCCATTCACGGAGAAGTCCTAACGGAACATCGTTGCCGGCCTGGCTTATGAAGCCGGGACCGATACTTATTAAAAGAAACGATCGTAACTCAAAATTTGAACCTGTTACAGAAGAAGGGCAACTTTTACAAAGTACCCCTAACTACTCTTATATCAGATATTCCGACGGGAGAGAAAGTACGGTGTCCAATAGGCACCTAGCTCCACTACCATCAACTAGAGATGACTTTTCTTCGGATGAAGAAGAGGAAAGAGAAGAAGAAGGAACCGCTACCACTGGGGTCCAACTAAGGCGTTCAAAGCGCGTCCGGCATCCACCAGCTCGGCTTCTTAATTATATCTCGGGGTGAATGATATAGTACTCTTTCGTCATCTCTAGATATCTATGATGTTTGTCATTATTGTCATAGTTTTTCTCTTGTCTTCTGATATTTTCCTATATGTATTTTATAAGCTGAATAAAGCCTTTAATTCTCAAGGCTTGTCTTAATTACATAACAGTCATCAGCTTCTATTTGAAGGGCATTAATGGGAGAGGACTTCATAGACCATAGAATAATACGCAGACACTTTGATTGAATTTTGTTTATTTTGTCTAATGCGGATACATTGCAAGGGTCGAGATGGAAGGAACCATAATCAAAGTGATTGCGCACTATGGCGTTATATAGTAGTTTTTTGGTCAATGGGTGTGCAACCTACCAAACACCAGACAGCGCACGAAGAACATGGACACCTTTTTCTGCCTTGTTGGCAACATTATTGAAGTGAGCCGTACCAGATAGTTTGGAATCCAAAATCAAACCTAGAAATTTAACAGTCTTTTATTTCTATGACAGAATTTTCAAATTTTATAACAGGAGTAGGGACATTTCGTTTTTTGGTGAAGATAACTGCACTACACTTTGGTGGGGAGATTGATAACCCGTGTTTTTCCAACCATTCTCCGAGGTGATTTAGAGCACAGTTCATATGTGAAGTTGTTTTTTTTAGGAATACTGGTTTCGGCAGCGTCTATTAATATCTCACTAAACATGTCGTAAGCCTTTTGACTAGTTTCTGTTGTAATTGAAGGAAGTGAAATAGAATTGCTGTCTAACGTTCTTGTATAGGCTGACCAATCAGTTTTGTGTAACCTAAACTGGAGTAAGGGGGAGTAGTGATTAGTAGGGGGAGTGTGATCTAATATCGAAAAAAAAAATGGGAAAATGATCACTACCATGTTTGCTGTTTAGTACATTCCATCTCATTCACACATCGGATACCAAAGATGGGGGACAAATAGTGAGGTCTACCGCTGATGGATTTTGCTTAGGTTGAGTCCTCCTGGTGGGACTACCACCATTGATAACACAGAGGTCTCTATCGTCGATAAAATCTAGAAGTTGATAACCAAGCGAGTCATTAGTGTATGAACCCCATGAAACATGGTGTGCATTAAAATGCCCCATTATTACTATGGGTGGAGGAAGGGATGATAAAATAGAGTTTAATTCTTGTATATCTAAACTATGCGTAAGATATATTTCAAATTCTTGCAACTACTGCATTAATACAGTTGTTGTGTGTCAGAAGGTTAATTTGATTAAAAGGAAGAGAGTAACTGATCAACAGTACACTTCCACCATATCCGTCAGCTCTGTCATCCCGGAGACAAGAGTACCCTGAAACACCAAAGGCGGTACCAGACACCAACCATGTCTCCGAAAAGGCAAGGATGAACGGAGACAACTTATTTATAAGGTAATTTTATTCGTAAGTTTTGGGTACTATACTACAACAATTCCACTGAATGATCTTCACCATTTTATTATTAGAAATAAATTTATTGATTTTACTTATTCTAAGTGCATTGTTGGACGAATATCATTTAACCTGTTTAGAAGGCTGAAAACAAAGGACAAAAGAGCATCTAACCATTTATCATTGGGGGTGGTTTCAGAGAGGATAGATGAATTATCATTGTTAAGGGCACAACCATTAGGGAGAATTTAAACAAAGCAATAATAATTCTTAAAGCTTCTTTTATTGTACACCGGAAAATGAGTCACACAAAATGCTAAGCGTTACAGACATATTTATAGCAGATTATCTTAGTCTCTTGGAACAACAATAATATATTATAAACTTACAACAAAAACTGTTGAATTAATTACTCGCTTACGCTTACAATTCAATCAATTTATATTACAACTATTGCATGATAACTACTGCATGATTCTATCGTTCACAAAGTGATTTACGTGTTTGTCAATGTTCCCAATAAAAAATAATCACAATAAGACATGGAGTAAATTGAAAATTTTAAGGGTAACTTTGTCATTTGGTTCTATAGAAAAAATATATATAAATTTACGTTTATGTGACAGATTCCTTCTAAATATGATTTTATTTTATAACTTTAATAGTACAAATTTATATTTCTCAACATTTTTATTTGTAAAAGATTTTGCAAACATAATCACTATGTTTAGTCTTTGAGTTTAAAACAATATGTAGAATTAAATCGTTTTATGTTAATAATTAAAACGTTACTTATTAAACAATATTTTAGCGATTAGAGTCCCAACGTGGTTATTTAATAATGTTTCCATAAATAATTATCATATCAACTTCCAAGTAGACCATTTAGTCTACTAAGATAATTTAATCTTTTCAATTTTTGGATACATAGGTATCTACCATTACGGTCTCTCTACGCTAAAATCGAATTTAATATATAAAATGATAAATCAATTATTTGTCCTTTTAATATTATGTATCCACCCATTTAATATTTGTTATTTATAATTAATATATGAAGTATCATTTAAAAACTCTTTTACGCAATATTTTAAAAGTAAAAGCACAACAACAACATTATACGATTGAGACTACCACCACATATATCCATATATCTTAGTCCTAGGTAGGAATGTGTGTACAAGATCTACAATAGTCTGTGAATGTCAATGTCATTTCATATTCTGTTTCGTTCATTTTATTTTGTTTTTTTTCTTGTAACACAATGGAAATTGTCTAATTATTAATATAAATAAATAAATATTTGAATAAATCTGTTATGGATATTCAAAATATAAATGACTTGGTTTCCCAGCCTGATGTGTGTCGCTGCTGTTTATCTGCCAATGGGAAATGGGATCTCACTACTTCATACATTTCTGAATCGGGAACCAAGGAAATATATTCGGAAATGTTACAGGAATGCTACGGGATTACTGTGAGTAAAAATTAAAGCTTGAATTCTATCTATCAATAAAGACATTGTATTTTCTGTTTCAGTAGGTTGACAATCGATTTGTGTACTAATAGGATAATAGTCATTTCAATTAATTACTATGTATCTAAATATTAATGAATGTAAAATTATTCCTAATAGGATACTGGATAGTACTGGATAGGTTATAAATAAAGTTACATGGACTTATTTACTTCTTTTATTTTGAATATAAAGCACAACATTGAGGGTTTCTTTTCAAATTAGATTAATAATTCTGTCTAAGTATAGATTAGAAAAAAAATAAGATATTTGTTTAATCTTCCTAATAAATAACTTTCAAAGTAACTTTAAATATCAATCAAGACAAATAGGGTGAAAAAAACAGGGTGTTTTTTTTAATATATTATATTACTATTTACAGCTTTCTCATATAAAAGATTGGGCCACAAGTCATATGGTGTGCTCTTTGTGTGTAGGACAGCTCCGTGATGCTTGCAGCTTTCGAAATCAGGTGCTCAGTGCATCAAATTGCTTTGCTGAGTACTATAATAAAGGTATTGTTTTTACAATTTATTAATATAAACATACCTCATCACCAGCTCATTAATGTGCCCACTGCTGGGTCTCAGGTATTCCCGATGGATGCAATTGAATCAAATTGAATAGGGAGAATGGGCCATGTCTCATATAGATCATGTTGATAAGTGACACCGATTCAGTTTGTGTTAGCGATTGCATCGGTGAATTAAGACATTTTTACTCTCAAATACATTCTAGTTTGAAGTTTATACTCACAGAATCTACTTTAAAAATTCATATTATGAAAACATATGAGGCCTCTCATACTTGTTTTCGCCATATTCCAATTACTATTAATTTCTTGTTTACAGCAAAAGAGAGTTTAATAAAAAGTGAAGACAATATAGACCTATTACAACCTGTTTCTGAATCTTTTGCAGAAGAATTGTTGATTCCAAATGATGGTAAGCTAATGAATTCAACTTATTTATACATCATTTAAATTTTGAAAATATTGTCAGTAAATAATTCACAGGTGAAGACAATATTGATATTTTAATTCACAATGAGAATAGAATAATAAATGTAAATGATAATGAAGTAAAGTCATCCTGCAAGAGATTCAAAGTAAAACGTAAGAAAAGAAAATTAAATGTAGATAGAGATTATGATTCTGATACTCCAATTTCTAAGTTTTTGGAGAAAAATAATGATTCTAAGGAAGGAGTTGTAACAGATGCAATAAAAGATATTGAAACTGATGCAGATTTGAAAGGTTTGTATCAATTGGTGTTCATAAAATATCTTGCTCTACTCTTGCGTACTTATTGAATATAAATATATAATATTGCCTTGAGTGGAATCAAACTCGGGACCTTCAAGATGGTGTCGCCTTGAACCGGTGCCATGAAGATCGTATACTTTACGTGTTTACCTTGATGAAATTGAGGAATGGCTCTTTTATTAAGCAAGACGATTATGAGTCATGTATGTATTTTTTAAAATAGATTGGAGAGAGAAAGTCTTTATAGTTCTTACGTAACTTCGTAAAAGCGAAAAAATTAAGATTACATTTTATTTGGAAATTTTTATAAAGAAACAAAAATATGTTTTCCTCTCTGTCTGATTCTTCTTTTTTCTTATATAGAAAAAAGCAAGCCCAAAAATAACAAATTCATCTTATGTAATAAATGGATGCCGTTAAAGATACTTGATACAAGGAATATAATGTGGTACAGGTGAAGTCGCGGCTAGAAATCAACTTAAATATATAATTATATTTATGGTATATGGTATATATTTATGGTATATTTATTGGCAAGGATTTCACAATATTTGGTAATATAACAAAAAGAAAACATTATTACTTTAAATAAAAGAACATAATTGGACTTTAAGGGATGATATTATTTTAGGCATACTCCTAAATACTGCAGTACACAACGTGAAACATGTGTCGGAACGTAAACGTGGTATGTTGACTTGCCACACTGTACTTAGAGAAACTACCGCTTGCCCTTTCAGACATCATAAGAGTTGGTTTCAATGCTTTTTCTGTTCGCAAGAGTTTATGGAAATAAATCAACTGAGAGAACACACGCTAAGGACGCATGGCGATGTGGATTTGGAATTAAAGAAGTTGAAAAGATATCCGCGTTCTCTGCAAATAGATATAACGAATTTGAAGTGTCGCAACTGTCATTTGAACCTTACAGACGTTACTGAAATGCGTCGGCATCTCGGCGACATTCATAATAAAGTCATATACAGCGAATGTATAGCAGATTTTAAATTAGACGCTAGTCCATATTCCTGTCATATCTGTAAACAAGAGTTTCATGTATTCAGAACTTTAACAACACATCTCAATGAACATTATGCTAATTGCATATGTGATGTCTGCGGAAAATCTTTTTTGAATTCTAAACGGCTTAAAGTTCACAAACGCACCCACGAATCCGGCCATTATCCATGTACAGAATGCGGTAAGGTGTTAAAAACGAAAATTTCCAGATCTAATCACATCGAGAACGCTCACAGTAAGCGGCAAATGAAGTGTCAAATTTGCTTGAAACCTATGAAGCATTACAATGACCGTATAAAACACATGTCTGAGGTTCACAATATAACACACAAGTTTCAATGCCCCATATGTGGAAGAGAGTATAATATAAAACACTATTTAGCGACTCATATCAGACAAACTCATGGTCATAAGAACAAGAATTGTTCCGAATGTGGTATGGCATTTATTACAAATCATGGTTTAAAAAAACACATGTTCAAGCATACAGGAGAGAAGCCGTTTACTTGTAGTGTTTGTGGCAAGTCTTACGCAAGAACTTATACTTTGAAAGAACACATGAGAGCTCACGAAAATGGCAGGTTGGTCTGGTAATTCATTAATAAATTATTGCCAGATTTTATATCAGTCACTGATTTTGCATTAATACTTTTAATCTATATTGACATTATAAAGAGGAACGATTTGGTTGATTGTTTGCTTGGATAGGCTCAGCAACTACATATGACTAATAATTAAAAAAAAAATCACCTACGGATAGTTAAATTATGGGCGTATGACATAGGGTTATACCCTATATATATATACTTTACGTGGGCGAAGTCGCGGGAACCAGTTAGTTTAGAAATAATGTAGACATAATCATCTTACAATATTAATTAAAATAATACACAATATTTTAACAGGAAATATTGAAAAGAGAAAATACATTTTTTTATTTTTTATTTTAGGTAAACTACTTCGGAAAATACAAATGCTTTCCAGAGGTGGATCATGAGAACTAAAATACTAGACGAAGCTGTGAATATCGGATAGGTCTCTGAATGTTGGCCAAGGCAGCCATTTCTGTATTAAGGTTTCATTGAATAAGAATCCTATTTACGATTGTAGTTATCGTGGATGAAGCGATACACGGGAGGGTAATTACTGCTGTCCCGTGACTCTGCGACTTGCAAGAACCGAGCAATAATAAAAAAAAGTAATAAATAATGTTTGCAAAAACATATTTTTCAAGCGCGCACGAGAATAGTAAAGCTGCGGCTCAACATAGTCTAGTAATTTTTAATGAAGATTGTATGGCCATACTATCATTTTAGATTAGTCTACTTGAAGTGTGATCCTAATGTTCTGAGTTAATTTAAAAGTTACCGCATTTAATTTAAAATAATCCGGTATTTTCTCGAAGCTACTTGAATGCCTTTTAAATTGGGACAATTCCGAGATAAATCAGAATAGATGACCACATTAATGTTTGTTGTGATACAAGTAATGTCATTCGTTACATTTCCCCCCTCGAAATTATATAAACAAATAAAATTACTTTAACCTTTATATAAATAGGATAACATAAACTTTCAACTTAATATTACGTAACGTATAATAAAATACCGTATATTTATGTGACTTGTAAGCCAAGACAAAGTTTCTAAGTTATTTCAGATATTACTCTTAGATTAAGTGGAATGTGTTGTAGTATTTAAACAATGCAAATAAATTATTTACCATTATATGATCAATCACATTTTTTTTTGTTTAATTGACTACGCTAAGATTATGTCTGCAAGTATATTCCCTAACTCAACTGACAATCTTAAGTCGTAATCACCTTAAAAAGTAGAAATTCCTATTAGTCTAAGATCCGAACCTAAATCGACCTTCACCGGTTGATAATAGAATAAAACTTATTATATAATTAATTTAGTATATTAGAAAATATATTAAAAATGGGTTTCCTAAAAAAATCCTTGACAGAATATTTTTAATTATTTTTAAAAAAATATTTTTTTATTAAATTTTGCAACATCAAGATTTAATTCTGACTTAAAGTATAAAACATATAGAATGTGCAGACGTTGGGTTGTCTATTATTTACCTGGACGAACTACTGGGTTGTCAGGTATAAACAGGTATATCGATGCCAGTTAATTTCACTTGATTTGATAATAAAAAAAAATTTATATCAACATAAGCGCTGTTTCATTACGAACACATTAATATAGGGTTGGCTGCAAAAAATTCGGTCCTAATACGGGTTTGCGAATTTTAAAAATTAAAATTTTAACGCGTGGGAAAGTGAGTGACAGAGAGATCCGAGGAAAGTATACCGTGTAATAGTAAAGGACCCAACATTGCAGTCGCATCTGATCGGACCCTGAATATATGAAAGTGGCCATGAAAGTGAACTTCAGTGAATGATTTCATCTATAATAAAAAATATAGAGCTACTGGCTAGGCATTAGTGATTTATTGAAAATGTGTTACATAATACCAAGGCCACGCGATGACTGGTTTCCCACAGCGATAGAGCTTTGTGAACAATTTATTTCGATTGTCCTCAGAAGTTACAGAATAAGGTGACAGTCCCCGACATTTGGAATGTATAAAAAACTAAGTACTGAAACAAAAATACCAATAACTAGTCACTGCCGTGACATTTCAAAAGCCTTTGTGGCTACACCACCAGAGGACCGCGGTCCCCGGGCTAACAACACCTAGCTCGGAGGGAGACAATTATCCTTTAGTCTCCCTGGCCAGTTGTCTCCATCACCACAATAGGGACCCCACATATTCAATCATACGGTTCCTAAAGTGGTGACCCCAGCAGAACATCAGCAACCTTCAGCATCACAACGCAGCCATCACTCTTCATCAACAGCCTCTCACCCTCCATCATCAGCTTCTCATCCCTCATCAGCACAGCCACTTCAGCAGCAAGCCAGCCAACACCAAGGTCCATCACAGCAGCATCGACGACGCTTCCTGGATTCTTGGCACCACTCGACGGCATCATCCCGACCTGGTCCTCGCAGCCCACGACCGGACCTCAGTTCACACACAACTCACCGGCGTGGCAGCCCTGCACACCAGCAGCTTCGGTCCCGACGTCTCAACCATGGCACTTGCAAGCTCTGACGCACTGACTGCATACCACCTACTATCAACATCGATCGACCTTCGGTCTAGGGGGAAAGTACTGTGGCGACTGATACATAGCGACATCTAATTCATCGCAGTGACATCGCCACAACAATCGATAGCGAGAAGACAAGCATCGTCACAGCCATCGATAGCAAGACGAACTGCAATAAGTTTCAACAGCAAGTAACGAGATGGCGCTGTACCAATACAAGCAACATAAATTAATAACTACAAGACATTTAGAACAAAGAAACCTACATCGCACAGAATAAGTTACATTGCCAATTAACATAAATAGAACGTCCAACCTACATCGGTTGGACCGCGGTCCTCTGGTGGTGTAGCCACAGTACTCCCCTTCAAGTGAAACGTACCGGTAGTTTGACGACACGGCCAGAACTGGTTCGCTTCTGTACTGGCTGTGACGTCACGTCGTTGTTTCTTACACTTGAGTCTGGTAACGGCATTGATGGTAATGTTGTGGTGGTATTTGTACTTTGATGTGGTAATCTTATAAAGGTATGATTATGGTAACTGGTAAATTCAGGCGTATGTTGGTA